AATACAAAGTCATAGGATGTTGAAGTCATACAGCCTTGCCCTCTTTTTTTTTTTTTTTTTTGTTTTTTTTAATCTAGAATGTAACGACTTCTAATATTAACATACTTAATATTCCTGAAAAATCTTTCATGTAATGTCTAATTTCCAAAAATACTTTATTGTCTGTTATTTTTTTTTAAGTCTAACGCCACACACATCTGCTGTGAATTGCTTATTATTACTTATATTTTATTATCTGCATTACTATCTGTTTTGTAGTCGCTAGATATTATTAGCTTTTTGCTTTTTTGTTCTGCTTAGCTTAGTTTGTATTTAACATTGACTGCCTATGGGTAATTGAAATTTATACCATTAGAGTAGTTCTTTTTTTTCTTTTTTTTTTTGTTATATTTATGTATATACTATGAATATTTCCATTAATTCTGATATATTTCATTCATGCTCCTCTCAATCCAGTCTTGAGGATAGTCTTCATAGTGATGAGTCTGCGTCCCTTGATGAACTTCTGCAAGATACTTTTGATGATTTACCTAAAAATTTGAACGTAATCCACATAAACGCGCAAAGTATCCCGGCACATTATGCTGAGTTATATACTTATTTAGCCCATAATAATATTCATGCAATTTTAGTATCTGAGACTTGGCTACATCCTTCTATTCCTTCTTCGTCTTACTCGCTTCCGGGTTATCATTTGATCCGTAACGACCGTGGTAGCTCTTCTCATGGAGGGGTAGCAATTTATCTCCGCGCACATCTTTCTTTCACTGTATTAAGTCAGTCATCACAACCTCCTCCGCAAAATACTGCTGAATATCTCTTCATTGAGGTCAACTTAGTTCACAATAAGGTTCTACTAGGTGTTTTATACAGCCCATCTTCTAAAATTGATTATTTCCATTCATTCGAACTTCTTCTTGAAGATTTTTCTCATAACTATACTCATTCAATTATAATGGGCGACTTTAACACCTGTCTGATAAAAAATGATTTCCGATGCAAAGAGTTACGTTCAGTAATTAATTCTTGTAATATGCATATTCTTCCTCTCTCTGCGACGCATAAATTTCCAAACTGCTCCCCTTCTCTGCTAGACCTTATAATGGTATCATCTCCCGACCATGTTGTGAAACATGGTCAATTACCTGCTTATCAGTTTTCTTATCATGATTTAATTTATTTGTCGTATCGAATCCGTCCCCCTAAACGTAAGGCGTCAATCCAACTATTGCGTAATTTCAGTGCAATGGATATCGATATTCTGCGAGAAGATGCTCGTAAAGTTAATTGGTCGGCAATAGATGATCTCAACAGCATTGACGAACAAATAGAGCTATTCAATTCCTTACTCATAGGTTTAATGGATATTCACGCTCCCGTGCGACCTGTACGCGTCAAGCATGTTCCTGCTCCTTGGCTTACGGAGGATATACGCAAAATAATTGAAAAAAAGACTCGCGCAAAAACAAAATTCAAAAAGAATCCAACGGATGCCAATCGTGCCAGATATAGGGAAATAAGGAATCGCTGCAATACATTGATCAGGAATAAACAAAGACGCCACATTCATACGTCTGTCGAAAATGGTGACTCCGTCAAAGTTTGGCGCTTTCTCAATAAGCTTGGTATTGGCAAATCTAAACGCAACTCTACCTCTCCTTTAAAAAGTAATATCAATGCTTTAAATGCTCACTTTTCCTTATCTGCGTCCATGGATGGAATAATCAAAAGTCATACTTTGAATACGCTTTCTTCATCGCCAACACCATCTTTTACTCCTTTTTTCATTAAACAATTTACTGAGTGTGACATTGAGAAGAATATTATTGCTGTTTCGTCCAATGCCGTGGGTAGCGACTGCATTAGTCGTAATATGATCATTCCTCTTCTAGATATCCTCACTCCTGTAATTACGAAAATCCTTAATAAATCCATATCGTCATCTGTTTATCCTTCGGTGTGGAAAGAAGCTAATATTATTCCTTTACCTAAGAAATCCAAACCTGAATCCTTCTGTGATTATCGTCCTATTTCAATATTGCCTTTCCTTTCTAAAGTCCTCGAAAAATTAGTCCATCAACAGTTAAGTAGATTTCTTTCCATGAATAATCTTCTAAATCCATTTCAATCCGGGTTCCGTCCCGGTCATAGCACGACTACTGCGCTTGTCAAGATCGCTGATGATATACGTGTGGGTATGGAAAATCGGCAGCTCACTGTATTAACGCTGTTAGATTTTAGTAACGCATTTAATATGGTTGATTTTGATATCTTATTGGCAATGTTGGTTTCTCTCAATGTATCTCCACCAGTGATTGATTGGTTTCATAGTTACCTGCATGGGCGGCGGCAGCGCATATGCGTGGATGGATATTTTTCATCGTGGTGCGATACAACAGCCGGCGTTCCGCAGGGTGGCGTTTTGTCTCCTCTTCTCTTCTCTATATTCATAAATTCAATAACTCTTCCTCTCTCTTCTTCCTATCATATGTATGCAGACGATCTCCAAATATACACTCAATCTACAATAGATGGACTACCTACAGCCATCGCAGTTACCAACAACGATCTGGAGCATATATCTGACTGGAGTCGGCGACACGGTCTGTTGGTTAATCCGCGCAAAACTCAGGCTATAATTATTGGAAGCTATTGGTATAATGCCAGAATCAACAAAAGCGCTCTGCCACCGATCTTGCTAAACGGTATCCACATACCACTCCAGGACAGGGTAAAAAATCTTGGTGTCCTGTTTGACAATAACTTGTCTTGGAGCCATCATGTTGGTGAAATTAGTAGGAGAGTATTTGGCGCGTATGGCTCGCTGAAACGCCTGAAAAACCTGTTGCCGACCAAGACTAAAATTTCTCTTGCACAGTCCCTTCTTCTCCCGTTGCTTGACTACGCCGATGCGTGTTACTCTGATCTTAGTGTTATTCTTCTTAATAAACTCGAGCGTTTGCAGAATTTATGTATCCGATTCATCTTCGGTCTGCGTAAGTACGACCATATCTCACATTATCGTTCCCAACTTCAATGGCTACCCATTTCTCGTAGAAGAGACTGCCACATCCTATCACTCCTTTATTCTATCCTTTTTCATCCACACACTCCTCTCTATCTTAAAGAGCGTTTCACTTTTCATTCTTTTAATCCTGTCCGCGATCTTCGGTCTTCTCATAACCTATCCTTAGCTATCCCACCCCACTCCACTGATTTCGTAGCCAAGTCATTCTATGTAAGAGCTGTAAAATTGTGGAACTCTTTACCTCTGGACATCAAACGTGCACAGACGAGGGACTCCTTTACCATTAAAATTAAGGAATATTTCATCAAGCTGGACTCTGCCTGATCTTTTTCTTTTTATCTGTTAGTTACTTTGTATTATATTTTATAGCTTCCTTATATATTTACTATTTTTATATTCTTATATTTACGTCTATTTTATTTTATTTTTAAAATGCACTAGCCCGCAGTTTCTTCTTTTTCATGGTATGATTTCATTTAGCCAAAGGTTGCCTGGTAGAGATTGCTACCTTAGCAATAAGGCCGCCTTTTGTGTTTGTGTTCCTTGAGTTTTATGTTGTATATATTTTGTTAAATAGTGCAATAAAGAATATTCATTCATTCATTCATTCATTCATTCATTTGTACTCCAGTCATGGATGTTTAATATGTATTTCTATAAAAAAAAATCTTAAATATGTACAGTACTTATATGTATTGTATCCGTTACCCTAGTATCCCATAACACAAGCCTTATAGTGCTTACTTTGGGGATAGGCTAATTGGTGTGATTGTTGGAAATATTTATTTATTAATATAATTTTTACTTTCATAGTTATAATACGTTATTAGCACAGTTAGGCGTTGAGCAGACGACGGGGCGGGGCGGGCCGGTCTTAGTAGTATTAATTGATGCTTGACATCTTATTAACTTTTTATTTGATGTGAGTTATATATATATATTATTATAATTTTTAAGCATTTAACTGCTAGATGTTTAAATCTATAAAAAAAATTACTAGGAAAAAAATCCACGCGGACCAGGCAGCAGACGGGACTCGAACCCTCACCTTGACAAGTATTAAGCATTTGAAAGAAGAAATAGCAATTATAGCTATATTATATTATATATATTTTAAGCATTTAACTGCTAGATGTTTAAATCTCAAGAAAATATCCTGATTATTCGCTCGGATAGCGAAGGGTGCGGGTTCGGGACCCGTCTGCTGTCTGGTCCGCGTGGAATTTTTTCTAGTAAAATGATCTGAGTTTTTTCGACCTTTCACCTTGACCCCTTGACCTTTCAATTCCGGATTTATAAAACCATACCTTCTACTTTTATAAAAACTTTCTACTGTTACTAAAACGCTTAACGCATTAACTATTGAATTATAAAGTCGAAAATATAAACTATAAGTACCTAATTAATAACCAAATAAAAATTAAGATAAGTTATGGTTCCGTTAGACCTCTTTAACTAAGTCGACGACCGAAGTTCATCGTTACAGGCTTAATGTAAATTTCCAAATACCGACCGATAGCGTATGCCACATAACGACCGGCTGATAAACTGGACATCTTTAATTTGCCAGTCGCACCCAATCAACACACTCCAGTCAGTCGACCGTCGTCACTCGCGTCGGTAGTCCACTCAAGCGCATTAAAAATAAGGCTTCGGCCATATTCAATTTCAATAGACCAACAGCTCCTCTAAAATGTATAAAAATGGTGATTCTTAAACTGGAGAAATGCCGTCGTGATACTAATGTGACAGAGATATTCGCGTTGTTCTTCGAACCCAATCACCCGAAAAGGTTTTACAAGTACAGTTGACCGAAACCCTTGTAGTTCCGGGATTTTCGGTTTGTATTCTGGAACTTTGGCATCGTCAGTGCATCCCCCGATAATCCGGAAAGTGTTAGTTTTGCGTGTGTTGAAATTAGAACAAAATTTCGTTAGGTTTTTTTTACATTTTCGATATATTCTTTGCAACAATGGAGAAGGTTAGGTATCCGAGGATCCATTCCTACGGGAGCATGAGCTCCTCGAGAAACGAGGATGATATGACAGTTCACAGTCAGCTGTTTCCTTACCCGAAAAAGATGCGGGTAGAAAGGGAGATACTGTACGAAGAGGAGCATCCGCCGTTCCAACCTTTATTCGCGACTTCGAAGTTATTCGGGAAGGCGAGGTTCACATGCCTGCTAGTGATGTACGTCGTGTTTTATTTGGTGTATCTGGTGTCTGGCGCGCTAGTGTTCTCCGCGTTGGAGGCACCGCTGGAGAATCAGATCAGGCTTGACGTCATCAGGGCCAAACAGGAGTTTATGCTTCGCCATCCAGACGTTACAGGTAAATAAACGGAACTTGTCTATTTCATGATGTGGCTGTTTTGATACCATATCACTTTGTAAAGTTTTTTTTTATTTTCCGCCCAAATATAATGCTTGTTAACAACGATATATATATGTATACTAGCGGACCCGACAGACGTTGTCCTGTCTACACGTCTTTGTGAATCTAAACCATTCTCAGATCCCCTTGAACACACACAAAAAATTTCATCAAAATCGGTTCAGTCGTTTAAGAGAAGTTCAGTGACATACACACTCACAGAAGAATTATATATATAAAGATAATACTAGCGGCTAATCCGCGTAGGCTTTAGTTTTTTGGGAACCCCAGAGAAACTAAACATTTTTCCGGAATAAAATTATCCTTTGTCTCAATCCGGGTCATAAACTATATGCGTACCAAGTTTTATAAAAATTAGCTCAGTAGTTTTTGTGTGATTGAGTTACAAACATAAACTATCACACTTATAATATCAATAGGATTATTTTTTGTTTCTTAGGTTTTCACGCACACCTTTCTTTAAATTAAACAAGTTTCAACGGTATAGATGCACTGATTTATTTATTGACGTTTTGCATCCTTTTCAGGATGCGTCATCATAATACAGACTAAATAGAGAATATATAATATAGAGGGAAGAATAGAAATAAAGGTAAAACTGTACTTCCAGGGCCCAAGAGGTGATGCTCGAACTTTTTTGTAAAAAAAAATCTCTTTAAAAAATTTTTTTTTGGCGTTATGGGCACAACTCTAACCTAACCTAGTGTGAAGTATCACCAGTTGGGCCCTGGAAGTACAGTTTAGCCGAAATAAATAAATGAAACAGTGCATCTATACCGTTCAAAATTGTTTTATTTAGTAGGATCATTGCTTGTTAATGAATTTAATTGTGAGCACCGTTTACCTTAATGGTGATTTGAGCACATTCGTGGTATTTTTATTATAAGGTAATTGTTTTTTAGGCTTTCATTCTTTCTTTGAAATTAATTATGAATAGTCTTTATATTCGTTAACGTCTTTACCGTTAAAATGATTACAATTTTGCGATAATACAACTTGTACGTTTTAGTGAACAGAGTCCATAATACAACATCAAACGTAACGTTTGCTTGCTACAACTTCGATATCTTATCACGAGAGTCGCTATCTTCAACTACAATAAGTTGGACACAGAATATGTTAGTATTTAATACGGTGGCTATTAAATAAACGTATCTAGTATTAATATAGATAGTATCGGCGTTAATCAAACATTACGACATGCGTACACAGCTGAGCTGCTAACGACCGTTCTTTAATATCTTATAAACTTGTGTATAACTCTTATCACAATGTTTGTCCTAGATAAACTACGAAACAACTCGCCTGATTTTGATGAGATTTCATCATCATCATCATCAGCCTATTAATGTCCCCACTGCTGGGGCACAGGCCTTCCCTATGGATGGAATAGGGAGATTGGGCCATGACCCACCACGCGGGCCCAGTGCGGATTGGTGGGTGCTAACGACTGCAGATGCAGCCGGGACCAACGGCTTAACGTGCCTTCCGAAGCACGGAGGAGCTGGAGAGAGTAAATTTTTGGTCACCCATCCAATGACCGACCACTGCGAAAGTTGCTTAACTTCAACGACCGCAGCCGAAAGCGCTAACCACTTGCGCCATCGAGCTCCACAGATGAGATTTGGTTTACTGTAATTGAGTTCTACTTGAAAGAAAGGACAGTTTTATTCTCCTATGTTGACCTCATATGGATGCGCCAACCTCTTTTTGATTAATTCCATCATATTGTCTAAGAAAATGTTAGGTTTCTGTGAGATTATCAAAAAACTGCAGTTAACGCGGACGACGCGAATTCGGCAGTTTTTTAGAAAGTGTGAGTGTTGCAGTCCAACTGCGGAGATAATTCCAAAGATCCTCACCTTTTTCCTCCTCCTGACTTGCGTAGGAATATGGTTAAACGCTCAACTGTGTTTTGTTACGGTAGCCGCTTACCATCACGCGGATTGCACTAACCTCGTTTTTTTTCTACAAAAATGCTCACTTTGCGACTGTATACATTAAAATGTCAATATAATTCAGCAAAAATCTGTATGCTAATGTTTGGGATAAGTTTTGGACTATCGAACAGTTTTCTTCCGTCTCTCAAAAATATCCGCCCGTTTCCAAACCTTTGTTAAATGAAAGCATTACTTTATTGCCATATCACATTATATCAGGGGTTCCCAACGTTTTCTTGGTCAGGGACTACTTTTACATTTTATGTTTTTGGGACAGACCACTATTTAGTCACTAAATAACTAAACTTTAGTGTAATAAAAATAAACTGTAATAATCAAACTGAAACTTTAATTAAAAATCTAATATGAAATTAAATAAAAACAAATAATAACATTTTTAGCGTGCGCGCCCGCTAAATTTAAATCCATTCACGGACCATATTTTGGCTTCTGCGGACCACTGGTGGTCCACGGACCACTGGTTGGGAATCATTGCATTATATGGACTGTGATAAAGCTTTCATTGTTCTGCCTTAGTGGACAAATGCAATGGTTTCGGTACTCATTCGAAATGCTATTAGGGCGAACGCTAACCTAAATATTAACATACAGTACCCCTAGCACGAAACAATATCGAATTCGTAACGTGTGCGAGTCGGAAATGTTATTGTCAAATGTGTACCTATTTTTAGTTCTCGTTACGTACTTTGTGGCGCTGCTGTTTAAGTTTCCATACAAAAGACATTGGCATTTCGCACTCGCAAACTATTCGAATTTGATATTGGTTCATGCTAAGGGTACAGATCTTTGCAGAAACTTTTATGTGAAGAGGCGCAAAGTTAGCATGTTTGTATGAAAATAATGGAGTGTCCGGTTAGATGTGACCCTGAGTGTATAGGGTTGTTTACCACAAATGCAGCGACATTTGTGTATAAGCGACCTGCGTATGGGTGCGGCCAGAGTGCACTCAGATTCAGAGTCAGATTCAGATTCTGAAAACAAGCGCGAGAAATAAACAGTGTAGTCGAAGGGTACGGCCAGATTGCACTCCTGATTCAGATTCAGATTCAGACTCAGAAAACAAAGCGCGAGAAAAAGCAAGCAACCTGCTTAGACTACACTGTTTATTTCTCGCGCTTGTTTTCGAAATCTGAATCTGAGTCTGAATCTGAGTGCACTCTGGCCGCACCCTATGGGTACGGCCAGAGTGCACTCAGATTCAGACTCAGAAAACAAGCGCGAGAAATATACAGTGTAGTTTAAGCAGGTTGCCTGCTGCCTAGTGGCATAGTTGGCCACCCTGCTTTAACTACACTGTTTATTTCTCGCGCTTGTTTTCGGAGTCTGAATCTGAATCTGAGTGCACTCTGGCCGTACCCTATGGCATGTTAAACCTTTTTACGCTTAGTAAATCATATTTCTTTAAACTCCTACAATCGGACATTGATAGCTTAGTGGAATGGTGCAAGATAAATGAAATGTCTCTCAATATTAATAAATGTTATCATATAAAGTTATCACGCAAGTCTCACAATTTTGAGTCACAATATAAAGTAAATGATACTGTATTAGAGGACGTAAATACTATTCGAGATCTGGGTGTAATAATAGATTCTAAATTAACATTTACTCCACATATAGATAACATTATTGCTCGAGCCTCAAAAACTCTAGGATTCATTAAGAGAAATGCCAAAGAATTTCTAACAGCTTTGTTAGAAGCACCCTAGAGTACTGTTCAGTTATTTGGTCTCCTCAATACAGTATACATCAGCTTCGTATTGAACGCATTCAGAAACGCTTTACTAGACATCTCACATTCAGTAGAAGGCTGAATACAAAATCTACCAACTACGGCCAAAGACTTCAGTATTTTAATATATCTTCTCACTAGGAGAAATATTTTGGATATCACATTTTTATTTGAAGTTGTCAGAAATGTAGTTGATTGCCCACAATTTCTCAGAAAGATAAATATGAGAGTTCCCCGTAAATCATTCAGCTATCCTGTACCAACATTCAGCAAGCACGAACATATTAACACACTCTGCATCATATCGCTTGCCCGAAGCTTACAACAAACTGATTGAGTGTTGATATCTTCCATGACTCTTTTCTACGATTTAGGAGTAAAGTTTCTGAGTTATTAAGAGATGCGTAGGCAAATTTTATTTTTATTTTTGGCATTAAATTTATTATATCATGTAATTATGTATATTCGTTTTCTATTGTCTATAGTTTCAAGGCCACTAATAGTTCGTAAACTTCATTATTTACATGTGGTTTCAGTTTGTGTTTCCGTTTGTTTATTTAATTAAAATTCGTTCGGGTTCGTACTGTCTCTTAAGCATGATGTGGCTACCTTCAATAGAATTTTGTATTTTGTATGTATCACTATAATGTTTAAAATTAAGATTTAATGTAACTTTCTCTGGTGGTCCTAATAAATAAATTACTTAATAGGCTGTTACTTAATAAATAAACTGAATTGAATTCACAAAACGCATCTGTTTTAAGGGAAACCGGTTGCTTCAGCTAGTTGTGACATACCAAATTCGCTTTCGTCTTAACTATTTATTGATAGTACTAAAACCAGTTTTAAAACAGTTACGTATACCAACCTTGCCTTCTTTCCAAAACTTACTTTGAGATGTTTGTGTTAGTAGAAAAATCTTAATTTAAACTAATTAAAGATAATATTTAAAACTAGTGAGCCGCCCTCGCTTCGCTTCGGTGTAGAGCTGTAGTGTAAACTATAGTTTTTGTTCTCAGGCTTGTGCAATAAACAATGACTTTATTTATATAATTACACGTGTTATTGTGAGTCAACCATAAAAGATAGACATATGCTGTTGCGGGATATTTTTTAGACAATTTTATGTAGAATATTTCCGTCATACATGATTTCTATGTAACTTTAACCATTAAGGCTGCACACGCGACGGAAGCTTAAAAAATGTAGTAACTTCTCCCGTTTTCCCAACATTTCCCTTCACT